TTGAATAAAATAATAGAAGTACCTTCAGAGATTCACAGCGATCAAGGAAGGAATTTTGAGTCTCAAATATTTCAGGAAACTTGCCAAGTTATGGGTACTCATAAAACAAGAACGACTTCTTACCACCCGCAATTCGATGGAATGGTAGAACGATTTAATCAGATATGGGAGAGGTACCTAGCTAAAGTTGTGGAAAATCGGCAACGAGATTGGGACAAACATATACAACCGTTTTTGTTGTCATATCGAAAGCGGTATTTACGAAAGTACATCAGTGACATCAGCTTTCGCGAACTTTGGAAGAGAGTTACGGCTGCCTGCACACCTAATCCCCGGAATACCACCTGATGCCCCACGCAGTATAACCGATTATGCAAATGTATTGCGGAACAAAATGTATGACATTAGGAGCGCGGCAGCCAATCGAGCCAGCAAATATCTGAAAAGATGAAAACCCGGTATGACCGTAAAATGAACAACAAGGGATTTGACGAAGGTTCATTTGTGTGGTTGCACAATCCAGTCCTTAGCAAAGGGAAATCTCCTAAGCTTCAAGCTAAATGTGACGGCTCGTACCGTATTGCGACCAGGATCAACGACGTAACCTACCGGATACAGAAGGGTGCAAGAGGCACTCCTAAGATCGTCCATATGGATCGACTGGCACGTTACTATGGGGCAGATAAGATGATGCCCCTAGCGCCATCTAGTGTCGGGGAGCAGAGCGAGGAGAGCTTTCCGGAAAATGCCATGCCTGAACTTTCCACCAACAGCGCCATCTAGTATCGAATAGAAGAATTAAGCTTTCTAGAAAAGTCCACACTCGAATTTTCTACATCTAGTCGGTCGGGACCGGTATTTGCTGGAACATAAAGCCATTCTGTAGTCAACCAAATCTAAGAAATACCTTTTGACGTTTCACAATAATCATTCAGCAATAACATTGCAAAAGCGTTCGCACACGATTTAAAATAACCTTTTACGTAAATCCGAACAACTATGAGGTTATCTATATTTCATTATAACGTGTATAGTTTTTTATCACTAATTTAAATTTGAATCTCAAATAAAGCAAAATATTTAAAAAAATAACCAGTATCAATATCTTTTTTACTTGACGTCGTTTCAATGATAAGTCGCTATGTACAATACCGTAGTGTTTGGATGATTAAAATTCATTCTTATGCGAATAATCGGCAAAAATTTTGAAATAATCGGTAAAAATATTCAAATAATCGAATCATTATTTTTTTAATGTATTATATTTGTTTAATTTAATTTTTATTTTTTGAAATTCATTAAATTACATGAATCATGTAGAACAAGTTTTTTTTTAATTTGTCAACGTAAATTTGTGTAGGCAAAAAAAAAATTTAACAGCATGAGTTTGGTGCGTGATAAAAAACCCCGTCGATTGAAACACACACCATGTTACATAAACAATTGATTGATGACTGTGGTTCTTAAAATTCAATAACAAAGTGATGTTTAGATAACTGTCGAAGAATAAATGTTTGCTTATTTGTATGTTTTCTGAACAAGTATGTTTCATTTAGCAGCATTTTAGATGTAATAATCTTGATCCAAACTTCGCAAAAGGGATTTTTTATTATTTTTAGCGAGATTTTGTTTTCATAAAATTATATTTCAAAAAGTAAAGTGATGACCACTTCTTTTTACGAATGCAAAATATTGTTGGATTCATTAGGTATGCGAAAAAAAAGCAAATTAATCATGTAGAGTTTTTTATTCTTCTTTATTTATTTATTTATTATTTTATTTATCCTTTTTTAGACTTCAAACGAAACTTCACCGAGACTTCCCCGCCGGCACCAATGAAATTGTTAATTGCAATTTTAAGTACTGATTTACTACATGCTCGCCGGTGAAGGAAAACATCGTGAGGAAACCTGCATGTCTGAGAAATGAGAAAAAAAATATTTCGAAGACATGTGAAGTTTTCCAACACGCATTAGGGCAGCGCGGCGGACATTTCCTTGCCATAAAACCCTCTCAGAAATGAGAGGAGGCCTGTGCCCAGCAGTGGGACGTATATAGGCTGTAACTTTACTTTACTTTTTTAGACTTCAAACATGTTCTCACGTAAAGAAGTTACAAAAAAATGACATAAAATTTTTTTTCGGCCTATCTGCCTCTTTTCTCAAGTGTTTTTTTACTTAAAAGTTAAAGAAATGCCCATTATGCCTAAATATTTGTTTCATCGTTAACGCAAATGATTTTATAATTATTTTTATTTTAAATATATGTAGTCCATACTACAGGTAGAGGTAAGGAATACAGACACTATATAAAAATGTGTCCGTAGAAAAGCGCAAAATAAGGGTGGCGCCACTGTAGCTACAATCTAAATTTTAAAGAACTTTTTATAATTTTTTTATTGCACAGACTTTCACCATAATTGCTTTTACAGAAATTTTTTTGCTTTCAAAATTTTTATTTTCAAAACCACTCTCAACGTATTTTATGGTGATTTATTATTCCTGTAGCTACTCGAGCGCTGTTGTGGAGAGGTTTTGAACAGTTATTTACTGCTTACAAATGGACACATTTTCAACTATTTACCTATGGGAGATTGTCCTCCTTACCTCTATACTCCATGATATGTAGGTATTTTTTTATAGGAAAAGAGTGACAAGCGAGCACACAGTCCACCTGATGGTAAGTGGTTGATGTGGCCCATAGACATCTACATCTATCCTCGTTTGCGAATCAAAATGCAGATGCGTTGTCAGCGTTGAGGACAAGTTGGAATGCCTTTTTCCAGTAAAAAGGGTCTCCGGTTCTCTACACTCACCATACGAAACACAGCAGCATTAAACTGCTATTTGACACTGGTATTCTGTGAGAGCGTGGTCCTTCCCCGGTTGAGCCGACCCATTTGTGCCACAACTATACAACTAATATAGCTGCAGCATGGCTCTACCACGTAAAAGGTATGTGTGGGCAGTACAGTAAAGTAAAAAAGTAAAGATACATACAAGCCTATATACATCCCACTGCTGGGCACAGGCCTCCCCTTATTTCTTAGAGGTTTTAGGGCAAGGAAGTATCCACCGCTCTGCCCCAATGCTTGTTGGCGAACTTCACATGTCTTCGAAATATTTTTTTTCTTATTCCTCAGACATGCAGGTTTCCTCACGATATTTTTCTTCACCGCCGAGTACGTGGTAAATCAGCACTTAAAATTGCAATTAAGAATTTCATTGGTGGCGGCGGGTATCCAACCCGGGTTACTCACGTTCTGTTATATTTACAGCGAGCGTTAACCATCTGAGCTACCATGGCTCACAGTATCCACAGTAACCCCGGCAGTACAGTATCCAAACTCAATTAACGACGTTCCTCTTTGGGCAGTGTAGTACCCAGACCCAAGCAAGCGGATAAACAAGGCCGCGATGAAAAAACAACAACGTAATTTCAATATCCCGCCATTTCGGAAGCATACTATGCGTAATTTTGTGATTTTTTTGTTTGTCTTCTTATTTTGTGACTCGGCGTTAACTTTTTGGACCGTTTATTCTATATTTGTTGAAGCATGTGCCCATGTCGCAAAGGATCATTGGGCAAAAGTGGTAGAAAAATAAAAAAAATTAATAGAGATGACTTTGAAAGCGGCATTAATTTTGATTGCATTATTGAAAATCAAATAATAATTAATCTAAATAACGACAGCTCAACTAGTTGTACTGAAAGTGATTGAATAAATTTATTTTTAATCTAGTTTCAATCTTAAATTTTTATATCTGTGCCTCTAGAAATAAGCGGTAACAAAAATACAAAGAAACTGATAAATCTAGTGTTTTAAAGTATCCGTTTTTAATTTATTCTGGTATTATTCATACCAAACTGTAAATTATTACCAACTCTAAATTATCGATATCTAGTTTTTTAAGAATCGAATATTGTACGTTCTAATTTTTGGGTTAGCATGCTTGGTGCAATAAGTCTGACAGTCTGTCAAAATGTATTTCTTAGATTTGGTTGACTATAGTGGAATCTGGCGGAAAATTTGATATTAGTTGGCAGCACAGCGCAGAAAAGTAGCATATGGTAGGCTCATCATTGGCATCTGGAGGCGGTGATGACCATAAAAACGTTTTGGAATTGTCTAATTTAATTGATGTTATTACCTCATATTAGTTAAACAAATGAAGATGTCTTTAAATAATAATACACGGATGAATACAAGGATACAACTTAGCGGAATTTGCTGGATTTTAGAAGCGCAACTTTTATTAGGGTTTAGTTTATCCTTTTTTCTTTATAGGGCAACACGGATTTTTAGACTCTCTCTATGTTATTAAAGTAATTACTCTACGGGGTTTGAGTACCATAAGTATGGATTGTAGAAGTAAGGTGTACCAGCTCCCGTAGGAGAGTAGTTGAAAAAGTGTCCATCTGTAAGCATTAAATAACAGTTCAAAAATTCTCCACTACAGCGCTCGAGTAGCTACAGGTATGATAAATCACCATAAAATATGTTGAGTGGTTTTGAAAATAAAAATTTTGAAAGCAATAAAATAATTACTGTAAAAACAATTATGGTGAATATCTGTGCAAAAAAAAATTATAAAAAGTTCTTTAAAATTTAGACCGTAGCTACAGTGGCGCCATCCTTATTCAACGCTTTCCTACGGACACTTTTTTATACAGAGTCTGTACTCCTTACCTCTATACTCCATAACCATAGGTTTGACTAGGCTCAAAAGGGCTAGAACCCAAAGCCGTAAAGCGAGTTAATAAAAAAATAAGTTTGACTTTGACGTCTAAACGTCCAACAAGCAATAAGCAAACGCAAACAGTAATCTATGGCAAATTTATAAATTGTTTTGACAAGAACTGGTCTACACAAACTGTGTTTCTTGTGATACGTAGGTACAAATACTCTTTTCTTGTGATGGAAAATATAAGTTAGCATCATGTTAGGATTCGTAATTTTTGTTTTAACTTTCAAGTATTATTGTTTAGCATTAATGGATATGACCACAAGTTCATTTGGTAAACATAACGATGGAATTATTGCTGCTTTTGGTGATTTTAACTCCGACGAGCTAACTGATGTATTTGTAATTAATGGTTCAAGTGTTAATGTACTCTTAGCTCACGATAAAGAACCATTTTTGCGACCTTCGACTTTTGTTTGTACTTATAGTAACTTTGTTATAACAAGTATAGTGCCAGGTGACTATGACGGCGATGCATATATGGATATACTTTTCACCACTCAAATTAAAAATTCCACTTCTAATTTACATGAAGTAAGAATTCTGTGGGGTGGGTCAACTGCTTTAAACTGTTCAGATGGCATTTTGATCAAGGCTACTACAATGGGTCAACCTTTAGTATTAGATTATAATCGTGATATGATATTAGATCTGTTTGGTATTAATGCTCAGGAACAAAGAGTATTTTGGATATTTGATAAATCTAGAACATCTCCTATTGAAATATTGATGAGTGATAGTTTGCAGTTTAAAGAAATAAAACTTCCACATTCTCATTCATTTTTAGATGTAAATGATGATAATGCTGCCGATTTATTAGTCACTACTAAATTGAATGTAGAAGTGTGGTTAAGTGAAGAAAGAAGTGGATTTATATTTAATAACAGTATTGAATTACTTGTAGGACAACCTACTATATATGGGCAAGCTTTATTTACTGATGTTGCTTTATCTGGACAATTCTTTTTGGTTATACCTGTATGCTATGATACAGAATGTGTAAATAGTACTATTTTCATATTTGACAATAATCAATGGCATGACTTACAAGTTGACTTTAATGATGGTAAGGGAACTTTATGGAGATTCAGCCCTCCCAGAGATGAAGTTTATTTAGATTCAATAACAATGAGAAGTGGAGACTACAATATGGATGGTTACCCAGATATTCTAATGACTCTTAGTCCAGTAAATAGTAATGAAACTGCTGTTTTTTTACTGCACAATATTCCTTGCAATTTAGCAGGATGTAAATTTTCAAGAACTTTTCAAGTACAATGGGATAAGTTTGACTCATTTGGAAAAAATGTTGTAATGGCTACGTTTTATGACTTTTACATGGATGGCGTTCTTGATATAATATATGTTAAGAAAAACATTTCAACTCAGTCATACACAATGAATGCATTCAGAAATGAGCTAGAATATGACACAAATTTTATTAAGGTAATTGTTGTTACTGGTCTTAGCAACGCTAAAATACCCATAATCAATGGGACACTTTACAATAGAAAGGTAACTTTTGGTAAGTTATTTACAGAAAATAAAATTAATGGTAATTATTAAAATATTGACAAAATATAACTTAATTCATGTATCTGTCTTTTTACAGGGACTAATTTACCAGGCGCTAAAATTGGCTATAACACATGGTCACAGGAAGGTACATATAGAACAGGAGTTTGTGCACAATTGCCTCAGTCAGCATATTTTGCACTGCAACTTCCTTATTCAATATTTGGCTTAGATAGAACACCAAATTTTGTTGATACACTTAATGTTGGTCTCTCTGGGTACTCCAAAAGTTGGACTCAAATAATACCAAACTCACAAATAGTTGTAATTCCAGCTCCTCCTGATGATCCATCTCAGTGGAGAGCACAGTTATTTGTAACACCTAGTAAGGTCATCCTGAAAAGTGTCTTTGTATTGACTGCTATAATTATTATAATAACAGCATGTGTTTTGTACTTGCATTGGAAAGAAAGAAATGATAGACAAGATATTATAGAAATTGATGAAAAAACTTATGTTAAAATTTAGTTAACCCTCTGTCACTCATAAACTTAGAAATTTTTCGTTTTTTCGGATTTGACATAATAATAAAAAAATAAAATACACAATTTTTGATTTATTAAAATATTTATCAAGAAAATTATAAAATAGGGAGTGTTGCCTAGGAACAAAACTGAGATAAATGGTGAAAATTAAAATTTTGCAGCCAATGTAAAGAAAATTTAAAGTTTCTACAAACATTTTTTGGTTTTGTGTAGCATAAGGCTACCCCACATTTTTCTCAAACATTGGGGGTAAATCCATCACACTTCGGAAACTTATATCTGATTTTTTTATCAGACCATTGTGGCCAGTGGCCAAGCTGATATAGCCGAACTGCTTTTGGTGGCACATGCAGAGCCGGTCTTTTTTTAGCTTGAATCTCGTTCTCCAAAGACCGCCGAGTAGATACATTAGGTTTGATGCCTATTTTACAAAGTGTCACACTAACTTACAGGCGAAAGTCTGCCGACGATAATGGCTTGATGTGCTGGTTTTTGAGCTTAATAACCCTTTTGAAAAGAAGTCACGAATTAACCATCGTAAATCTTTTTTCAAAACTACTGAACTGATTTTGATGAAACTTTTGACGGTTCCCTAAGAAGTCTAAGCATTGTTTTCAAGGTCAATAAAATTGAAACAGAAATCTATATCTGTTGAGTGTTTCTGACTTTGGTGTATACAAATCGTCAACACTGGCCCCAGATCTTTTAGAAGCAGCAATTTTTCATATCCAACTTCTCATTTGTATTTATTTTTGTAGTGTTGATGCTGGGCATTTCACAATTCTGGTAAAGTTTCCAATAGTATTATAAAATCTTCTTCAACTTGGGGAAGCGAAGGTGAATCTGGTGAGTCGAATTCTTCGACCGGCGACTGCGGCGAGCAAAAGCCCGTGTCAGCGACGCCCATCTTGCATCGCGAGTAGCGCAGACTGACGCGATCCTGCGACACAAACACACAATTTGGATCGTGATCACAGGATCGCGATCTGGATTTCAAAATATCTAGATATTTTGTGATCGGATGCATCAATTCGTCAGTCACCTTCGTACGTTATCAATCTTCGATCGCGATCCAGATTGACTGTGTGTCTTAGGCCACAACGCGTGATAATGTTTTCAAATTAGATTTACGAATTTGATAGGACTTTGAATGGTATGTTACTTACAGTCTACATTATGCTACAGAGGGTTAAGTATATAAAAAAAGCTAATAGTTAAAAGTTTAAAACTGCCTGAGACTAGATAAAATGTGTTATTGATAATATAAAATATTATTGTTAATATAAAACATGTGTACATATAAAATAAAAATATTTTAAGGCAAATGATTTAATTTCATAATTTTCAACCACAAGTGCAACATAAAATATAAGAATAAAGATTAATTTTATAGCAGGTAAATGTTACAATCCTTATTTTTAAATCCACAGAACATAAATTTTAGGGTAATAAATCAAGATAATATTTTCATTCTAGTTAAATTGCTTTGTAACAGAGCCTTCTACTACATTCTATAAAGTCAATTTAATTAACAGAAATTGTATATATAAAAGCTAAATCCTATAGATGTACATGTTTGTCTCTTTTTAGTGTCGGTATTTCGTTTTATGGAATATTTAAATCACACAGATTTTAAAGATTTCACTTCAAAACTACTGCATAATATAAGTGTGGAAATGTGATTGATTTTATCCTATTGCAAAGGTGTAATATTACATACGACTTTGTATCTTTTTTCAAAATTGTAAATATTCAAACTATAAATAAATAAAATGTACTATATTTAAAATTATTAATAGCACTATTAATCGTCTAAAGTTTAACATAAGAATTATGTTGTTAAGTTGTATTAAAATCTTGTCTTTGTATGTTTGTGTTTGTTTTATGCTTGTAAGCAAACTTTAGTGCTGACAGAATTAAAAGTTAAAGTTACAGCCTATCTAAGATTAGTACATTAAATGCGTAAACAAATTTTCTCTCGTTTTTGATGAAAATGCCGATCAGCGTGAGCCGCACTTGATGAACGTAAAAAATAACATGCCAATTGGCTTTTTCAGCACTTTGTTATGAATTTAAAATTTTCAATTTCGAATCAATGATAAATCTCCAATAGTGCACTAAACTTGTTGCATTAACAACGGTTTTTAGCGAACAGCAGAATTAATTAATTAATTTAGCTAGTTTTATATAAGATTCGTTAAGTTTTGGCGATAGAAATTTGAGAAAAGGAATAACTGTTTTTTTTTTTTTTTGATAAATCGTTTGGAGCGACAGTGACATAACTGCAAAAAAAGGCGAATCTGACCTAATCATACCAAAATTATCTCCATAACTATCTACGTTATGGAGTTAAAACACCGCATTTGTTATTTAAAAAAAACGCCCGCTAGAGGGCAAAAGAGGTTGTTAAAATATTACATTTTGGCGCGCGAATACCGGGCGATAACGACCGAACAGTCAGTTGTGCGGGGCGCCCCGCCATAGAGTAGAGTAATATATACAGAAATAGAGAGCCATCTCCTAGGATTTTTTGTCACCCAATATGAATAGTGTCGCTGCCTGGTATCATATCCCTTGAACTAATCTGTTGACTATAGATAGCTGTACGTAGTTATGTATATACAGCTATCTATACTATGGGCGGTTATATTTATATTTTAAGGGATTAGGGTTCAATTAAAGACGTATTATAGATTTCAGTAATATTAACATTTATTTTTGTTATATATATTTAACATACACGATGTAAAAGCGTCTATTCCGCAAAATACAACACCAAACCACATTAAATATCTCCACCGGGTTACCGGAATGATAAATGAAAGCGTCTATATCGCACAACACTACACAAACATACAATGTAATTCCAGCATGATAATTTAAACAGACAACAAAGACACAGAGGGCTAATCCCAACTCAACCAAACTTATTGTAGCAACAACCGAAATTCACTTATAAACTATAATAAAACAAAAACTTGCTCAGCGTCGGTAGCCATTATGTCACATAAAGTTGCTACTTGCCGTTTCCAGAATAACCATAATTGGTGTAGTCGCCATCTAGCGGACCTTTTAGAATTTAATGTTCGAAAGTTTATAGGGATATAGTACAAGATGGCACTAGTGTCTTTGCAAATTATTGAACCCCAACCTAAAGTATGGAAGTGTACCCCCCCTGCGCCCCGCTAAGTGTGCATGTGTCAGGGAGTTACATTGGCGCTAAGGTAAATATGACAAATTTTGCTATTAAATTATGGTGTTACAACGACGCAATTGTATTTTCTGACAATATCATCTAGAAATGAAAACAGTTTTGTGGATGCAATGTCGTATTATACAATTGCGCCGTTGTATCACCATACATTTGATATTTTTTAGACGTAAATATAAATACGCCATTATTGTACTGTAATGCCTTTTTACCAATAACAATTATGATTAATTGTAATAATTTTAGACCAATTTATTTATGTTAATTTATTATACAATTTAACTCCTAGAAAACCACGAAAACGGCAGTGAAGACGAAACTAAAGACTTTTCTCCAGACGATAGTGGTGATGAATATAAGCCAGAGAAATCTGTACAACGCAACCGTATTAATTCAACGTCATCTAACTCATCTTCGAGCTCTTCATGCTCAACTTCATCGTCTAGTTCATTTGGTACTACTTCTAGCTCACCATCAACATCGATTACTCATGATTCTGTCAGAAATTCCAATTTTATAGATACCAGCCAAGATTTAGCGCTACCTTCTGAGACTGCAGTTGCCAAGAGAGGCAAGAATAGAGTTTGTAATGAATCTGCATGGATAAAAAATGTAAGAAAACGTCAGCGAAATTCTGGAAAACAATACGTTCTAGAACTGGCAAAACTGTTGCAGCAAAATCTATTAAACCACCTTGCACAGAATAATGTAGGCCCAAATGTCGTAATAAAATAACAGAGGAACAAAGACAGGAGATATTTGAAAGTTATTGGGGCTTGGGATCACTACAAAGACAGCGTGATTTTTTGAACTCCTGTTTAACAACTTTGAAAGTTCCGTACCGTCAAGAAAAGAAGGATCTGCTAAAACTAGGAACCAAAATTGTGTTTTTAATTTCACGGTGAATGGTGAAACTAAGCGGACGTGCAAAACTTTTTTTTTAAATACTTTGGGTATATCAGAGAGACCATTGCGAACGGTTATTGAAGGTAAAAACAGTTCTGGTACGGGTGTGATGCCTGAGGACAAGTGTGGCAAGCATGCTCATCATAATCAAGTAAACCCAGAAATCATGCAATCCGTTCGCAATCACATTATTTCCGTCCCTAGAATTGAGAGCCACTATACTCGGGCTAACACAACTCGTGAATTTATTTATGGAGGTCTTACCGTTAAAGAGATGCATCGAAATTACGTATCTAGTAGAGGAACGATGACATCGGCAACTTTTGACACGTATTACCGAATTTTCAACACTGAATTTAACATTCAGTGTTGAAAATCATTTTTTGTACCCAAAAAAGATCAGTGTGACCTCCGCGAGTCTTATAAAAATGCTGTCAGGGAAGACCAACTCAAATTAAAAGAAGCTTATGAAGAGCATTTAAAACAAAAAGATTTAAGTAGGAAAGAGAAAACTAAGGATATTGAGTTACTAAAAGAAAATGGTAACAATATCGTTGCAATCTACGATTTACGATTTAGGCAGTTGCCTGTACCTATCGGTAATAGTTCAGCGTTTTTTTTTACAAATCAAAGTTGAATTGCCTAAACTTTACGGTAAGTATTTTACTTCCTTTGGATTCACGCGTATGTAGTTTAAAAAAACTAATATTAAATTTTTTGACAGGTTACAAACTTAAAAGATAGCGTAACAAACTCTCCGAGGAAAAAATTTACTAGATAAAATTAAAGAAAGATTTTTTTATAAATCAGAGCGACTGAATAGAAAAAGTCTACTAATCATACCAAAATTAAAAAAACTAATATTA